ATTTTAGAATGAGAAATTTCACATTACTCCATATTACTACTTCTCAAATATGTTCAGAGTCACATTTTAGTGGCCAAGCTGAAGTACTTATTTTCTCAGTTACATGTTTCTATTCGATAGAGAGCACTTTATAAATCATAAGGACCTATATATTTCTCCCCAAAGTATGAAGCATCATTATGTTCATTTAGGAGGCAGAAAAAACAGTCATTATTTTTTTCTAGATTAGACAAATTTCTCTCTACTTCTCTCTTTTCTGTATGTCAAACTGTAATTTTTTCAACAAGTACATGTCACAGATGAGGCAGAAGAAGAAAGATAAAGAGTTATGAGGGTCTTTGTCGTTGGATGTGGTGGCTGTAGTTGTACCAATCAACCAACAAAACAAAGGAGTAGAAAGAAGGGGAAATATTGCTGTGTATATCCAGGAAGCTCCTAATAGGAAATGAATGGCACATGGGGTAAACTGAGGGGAGTTTAACAAAGAAACTATTTATAAAAGTGTAGGAAAACCACAGGGCAAGAGGAGAGAGTGGTTGTCAGAGCCTGGAAACTTGTGATGCGAGGCAGTTGAGGGAATGAAACACCCAGCTTCAATGGCCCAACGCCCCCATATCCAGTCTCTTGCTGAGGCTCCTCCTTGGCTGACTGGGGAGCTTCCAGATAGGATGGAAGCTGGATGGAAGCTTATGCATTTAGTCCACACTGGTCAGGGAGAAGCAAGGCAGGCAGTGGATCTGAGGGTCAAAGTTTCTATACCCAGTACAATACTATATACTGCATCCAGGTATGTTGAGCAGGAAAGTTCTATCTTACTTTATAGACAATGCACAGACAGGTAAAATGAGCAGTAATTGGTATGATTAGGTCCTGCTTTTCCAAGAAAGGTCAGATCACAGTGTGGAGAGAAGATGGGTGTAAAGCTAAAGCAGAGAGACCAGTTCTGGATACTGTTGCAAAAGTTCAATGGGAAGTAGAGCCCTGAACCAAAGCAATGGTAGGAAAAATGGACAAGGATTATGTGCAGGAAGTGAGGGAGATAGGATCCAATAGGGCTGCTGGGTAGATAGGCTCCAATTTCCCCAGGGACTGGGGATTGAGGAGGATAAGCAAGTCATGGGAAAATGGGACAGAGGGTATATATTTCCCAGGGACTAATCTTTTGCAAAAATTCAAAATTATCTGTTCACAAAAAAGAATATCAGCCTTGTAGAGAAAATAATTTCTAATGAGGGGTTAAATGTGACCAACTCTGCCTATACTGTGACAACCTTTGTCTGAATTAACCCCACTCAGAGGACTTGTGAAGGGAGCATCTCTGTCTTCCACATGAACGGCTGGTTAGCTGTCACTCCATGCCCTGAGGAAGCATTAAGGACTTTTAGGGCACACACAGACAGCAGAGAGCCAGCTCTCCGGACACACAGAGATTATGAACACAGCTAATCATCATAAAAAATAGCTACCATTTTTTAGAACTACTTCATACCAAGATTTGTTGTCTTACAAAAATACCATGGCAGATACTTTATTTATGCTCTATAAATGAGGAAATTAAGCAACTTGCTCAAGGCCACACAGATAGGAAGCAGATGTGTTGGAGAATATGCCAAAGGCATTGGGCCTTCTCTTTAGAGCCACACAGATTATGGTGTCTGATGGGGGTTAGAGGAAAATATTATATTATATATTGGATACAAATAGATGTATGTGTGTATACATATATACACTTGCGTAATGAAGTTAATATTTTAACAACAAGTTGTTTAGACTGTATTTCAGATTCTTAAAATGCACATTCTGATACAGATTCCCAGAAATAATACTTTCATATGATTCTTTTCCTAGGAAGCTTTTGAACAAGGTGAGATAAGAAATTCTCAGTTGAGCCAGGCATGGTGGCATACACCTGTAATCCCTTCAGCTCAGGAGGCTGAGGCAGGAGGATCACAAGTTCAAAGCCAACCTCAACAACTTAGTGAGACACTGTCTTAAAATAAAAAATAAAAAGGGCTGGGATATGACTCAGTGGTTAAGTGCCCCTGAATCCAATCCCTGCTACTTAAAAAAAAAAAAAAAATCTCAGTTGAGAAGAGGAGGAGGAAGATGCTGACCTGAGAGGATATTCTCCAATTAGAATCTGAGTTTCTTTGAGGCAGTTACCAAATTTTATTCATAATTTCTCTTAGGTCCAGAGAACCTCATATAATGCCCAGAAAATGTAGTTTAATAAGAACTTATGGAACAAATGCATCTAGGGGGCTATTTCCAAAGTGTTTTCCCCTTGGAGTGTTTGTCCTCCTGAGGTAGGAGAACAGCAGAATGGATCCCACTGGCTGTGTTATCACAGCAGCATGGGTCATAACAGAAGACAGCTATTTAAAGCCCACATGGGGACAAACACATAACTGAAATGCAAGGAGGATTAATGGAATGTACCCAAAATGATTCTGTTTAGAGCTTTACAAAGCCTGGTAGAGTTGGTTCCAGTTGGCTTGGATGAGTGGTCACAAGGATTAAAAATAGACTTTCTCAATAAGGAACAATAGGCTACATTCATTTAGCAAGATGGGAAAAAAAAATGACACCCCTTCGGGGTGGGTCTGAAGCTAATCCTATTTAAGAGCTCAATTACCGCTTCCCCCACCCCAAGAATGAGAAGGTCCTCTGCCTTCATGGCCATTCCACTGTCTAGTGGGAGATTAAAAATAAAGATGCATAGAGCTAGGAATAAAGAGATTCACATTTGTGTACAGAACACTCACCATATTTTATGGTGCATGAAAAAGTTTAGAAATGCAAAAATTAGATGGCTTTGACAGTTATTGTCCTTTACAACTTTTGAAATAAATCATATTCTCTTTTGAATTGTCAAATCTGATACCATCACTCATAAATTAGTCAAACATAAACATTTGTCTTGTCAGGCAAATTCACTCACTTTTTTGAAGAAATAATTTCTTTCTTATATTTATGTTATCAAATTAAATTATATTTTTTCTTAAACACGACACATTCTCTAGGACTCTTAAATCAAAATCCTAGTCATTCTGCTGTTTGAATGTTCGAGGGAAGACAGGATCCGTTCAGATCAGCTCATCTCAGGCTGCTGAGTTCTGGGATGGGTATCTGGGTGTCTGGGGCAGGTTGTACCTGCCCACTAGTAAGTCCTGCTTTTCACAGGCATTTATGGAACCCCAGGGAACTGAATCTATTAACTCTTTTATTTGCACAACATCAATATAGAAATCATCTAAAATATTAAAGGAAGGATATTAGTTAAGTTCATGTTTCTTTTTGTCATCGAAGAAGAAAATTTCCATGATGATAGTTTTGTATTTATGCTCTATGTCTAATTAATTCTTTGTTGCAATAAAATTTTTAAAGTATTAGAGAGGTGTGATAAAATGGAATGTTTCTTTCTCAAACTGAAGCCATTTCAATGAAAGAGGAAGGAGGTAGCTTTTTATTTCCCTATCTCTTTCAACGACAGCCTTGTCCACTCCCTCTTTCTCCTCTTCACCAGCCAACAAGTCACATCCAAATTTTCCCCTTGGGGTATGAAAGAATTTGCTGATATTCTGGAATAAGATGACAACTATGCTCTGTTACATACTTTGTTTAAATTGCAACTAATCAGGGGAATTACAGAGAATGTTATAACCCAAGATAAAACGGGACTTTAGCTACACTTCTTTCTCATTGTGATGCAAATACCCACATAACTATTTACTACTTTTTATAAATATATAGCCAACAGAATCTATTTAAAGATTGGGGCTTTGGAACTGTAATTTAAATTCATTTACGGGGAATGATATTGGCCAAATCATATTGTTAAATTGTTTCGTGTATGAATATGTAACAACAGATCCCACCATTATGTACAATTATAATGTACCAATAAAAATGCAGGAAAAAGAAAGCATCAATTTATTTAGTATTTGTACTTAATCCATAGAATACTAGTATATTGTTAAATACAGCAGTTTTCCTCTTGCCTTGACATATCAGGCCAATTCAAAGTTTCCCTTCTGTTCTGAAGCATTTTCAACATTATTGAAGAAATCAGACACAGACTAAATACGAGAGAAAAGTTGAGTTCACAGAAGGAACAAACTATGAAAACTTGTGAACATTATCTAGCAGCAAAAATAAGATCTCTGAAATAGAAGATGAACATCCCCAGTATCAAAATCATATCAGACAAACTCTTATGCTTTAGTACAAAGGCACTTGAAACTGTATCTTCTCTTAGATGACACTATAAACTTTTAACATGGCTCTTAAGCATCGCGAATGTCTATGAACTGTGTGATATGCTTCAAGTTTGCTGGCACATCTTTACTCTGGTTTTGGTTTTTTTTTTTGTTTTAGTTAGAATGCATAAGACAATATTGGGGAAGATCAAAAGATTTTTAAAAAGCACACAGGATCACCAATCTGAATCTAATTTTCATATTTCCATGTTTCTCATCAATCCTTACCTGTTTTTCCATGATATTCTTGAATAGTTATAGTATACAGCATAAAAACATAATTTTATCTCTAACACAGTTCTTTATATTGCCTCACATCTATATTTTTGAGAGTATAGCATCAGCTTTAAACATCAAGTATGACTTTTTCCATGGTTACTGAATATGTACTTAAGATTCAAAAATAAATCTTGATAATTAGTAACAACCAGTTTCCAAAGACTGTTTCTTCACAACATTGATTAATATTGAATTGCTTTCCTTAAAAAATGCGGTTGCAGATATTTATGAGGATACAAGAAGTCTTATTATAATGTAATGTTATGTTACATATTTTTAATGTTATGTTACACGGTTTTTCTTACATTTGGAGCACAATAAACTCATTTTTTTTTCAGGAATTCAACAATAACATTTTCCAAGATATTGATGAAATTTATACATTTTAGATATTTAATAAAATGTCTACTTTAAAATGGAATTTTATTCTGAAATACGAAAAAAACCAAAGTGTCAACTTACCAGCCTTTTCCTTCTCTGAAACACCTGGCATAGCCTGAAAAAGAAAAGAAAAACACAAAATTATGATGTTATCAGAAAGAAACAATAAATCGCATCATTAGGAATAAAATAAAGTATCACATGTGTAGAAAAATTAAATAGAGCATGACAATTTAGAAAAATAAGCTCTGTGGAACTGTTGGGAAGTCATTAGATCTGCCTGTGATGACTGTAAATCAACTTGTTATTATTTTCTTGTCTGAAGATAACTCAAACTAACATATACCCATATTATCTTTAAAAGGAATTGGCAGTAAGTGACACAAAAAGCACTCTTTGGAGAAATTGGGTCAAATTTTTATAGTTCAATTCCTTTGTCCAATTTTTGGGAGGCAGAAAAGGCAAATTGGTTAAATCTCTTCCCTGTCCCTTATTTCTTAATGAGCTGTCTTACCTTTCCAGGCTCAGATTCCTCCTTTACAAAGCAAGGATAATCATGTCCACTTCTCAGGGTTGCTGAAAGACCAAGATTTGGAACCTCTAGAAAACCCAAAAGGTCCTCAGGAAAACGCTAGCTGCCCTGACTGTTTACTACTACGGGCGTTGATCCAGTGGGTTAATTTGCTGATAGGAAAGATTTAGAAGTTTCATTCCCAGCAGTTATCACGATCATTATTTTAAAAATAGGGTTCAGACTGCGATGTTTCAAAAGACTTAAAAAAAAATCACTGTCTAGTTCTATCCTTTGTGGATACCCTAAAACAAATTAAGGAAGCTGAATTTTTGGTTCTTACTTCAATTATTCATTAACTTGAACTCCAAGTCTTTTTATAAATCTATCTGAGCCACTGTGATTTGATGTCCCCTCCCACACCCAGCCACAGCATATGTCTGAAAGTGGTGCCTCTCTCTCTCCTCCTCTTTAGCAGACAGTCTACAGAGTTGAGGCAAGAAAAGCAGGATAATGTGGGCGATTTTGTTAGAAATGTGTGCCTGTGTGTGTGTGTGTGTGTGTGAAAGAGAGTGAGAGAAGAGGTCCAAGTGTACCTCTGTTATTAATAAGTGCAAGAACATGACATCAATTTTTATTTCCAGAAACAATGATTATCAAGATGCCCCTATCTTTGTGAGATATGATTACTGCTGAGATCATCACCTTTGGAATTCAGTGGATCTGGAGATTGGTCCAATCATTCATATAAAGTAAAACTTTCTATAGATATAAATAGGGGAGGGGTTTGTTTTGGCAAGAATTATCCATATTGAAGGCATGTTTTGACTCAATCTGTTTTATTTATTTGTTCAACACTTGCTCTCTGGATTGAACATCAAATTTGCACCCTGGGTACAGATATGAAGAATATCAGGATATTAGACAGCAGTATGAGGATCAGGCCCAGCTCATCAAATAGCCAGCAGAGGTGTCCAGCATTCTTCTGAGCATCTTTCCCTTGGTAGGTGTGTCATCTGATTTTTCCTTCTCTTGCAAGAACTTCTCTGATTGAAAAACAGGAAGAGGTCATTTTCTCCCTTTCCAAGAAATTTATCCTACAGTTTTGGTGATGTTTGTTACTTTTTATGTGTCTCTCTTGAGAAGAATTAAAAATGATTATCAAAATTGATTTCACACTGTCTGCTATATATGAAGTCTAACTCCTCAATTTACCGTAGATCAAGGGTTTTAAATTAAGTTTTCTCTTTGAGAAAAGCAAACAAACAAATAATAGAACAATCACCACCACCACAAAAAACCCTTTCCCTGATTGACAACAAAGTGAAGTTTAGTGATTGGTAATTAAAGGAAGATGACTGGAGGAACTTCCTCGGTAGAAAAATAACTAACACTTCTTCAGGGCTTAGTAAGTGTAAGGCACAATTTTTAACCGGTAAATTTTCCCTCGATTCTTACAACAACCCTCTAAATCCCGGAAACTGAAGTAACTTTCATGATGTCACACCACCATCAGCAGTGGCAGCCAGGACTGGCGCCTTGACCTCTGAGGCTGTTCTAATTAGAGCGTTGGGAAATGAAGAGGAAAAATTCTGGAGAGGTTCCATGATAGGATATTGACTTAAGTAACAAACTACCTGTGGATGAATATCTGTTTAGGATATCTGGAAATCTCATCTCTCTCTTCTTACAGCTAAAGCATTTAAGACAATGTTAATGTCTTGCCCCAAATCACAAGATTGACTAGCATCCAAGACAGGTCTTTCCCATATTTTATTTGATTGAAGAAATCTATAACTGGGCATTGATAAATTTAATAAAAATGTCAATCAGCGAATTTAGTTACGAAGTAGAACCATTTTAGCCTTCATATATCCAGTGCCAATATCTCATGTAGCCAATCCCAATTACTTTGGAATCTCACCAGTTTCTGTACGATTCTTTTGCTCCCAAATCTCATTTCCTTTAATAACTGCAATGGTGACATTACAATGTAGAGAAAAGATGGATAAAATTTAATAAACCTAAAACTTGAAAACTTCTCTTTTAAAATAAGACCACATAATAATAACATCTGGATACTCTGAACTGACTTAAACTTTGAATTTGAAAGAAAATTGTTTCTCTAGAAAATGATTATGAGTAAACTGACTAAATTTCTAAAATTTCCCAGAGATAAGAGACATTAAAGAAATTAGAAAACACTGACATTTAATTTTCAATTAATTAAAACTATTTCCTGATTCTTAATTACATGCCTCACATTATGCTAGATACAAAAACCATTAGCAAAGTTTTCTTGTTTGTGGAATTCTCACTTTGAATTGACAACAAGATGTGAAAAAGATAAAGAATAATTCCTCGAAGTAGTGCTAAATGGCAATGATTAGCACCATCAATGGTGTAGCATTGTGAGAAATAAGTAGGTAACCAGATAATTGGGACTTTTCAGGTGGTAATGGGATGTTTTTCTGGGATTGAACTCTTGGGATGGAGACATTGGCTGGGAGATGTTTTTTGCCCTTGACTTCTGAGATGAGGCATGGTTAGATTTGGGGCTTCATCCTGAAGTGCGGAAGTGTTCTGTTTCTGGGCTTAAAATGAAACTTCCCACGTAAGCTTGCTGTGTAAACTAGCACCCAGTAGGTGTTCATCAAAGTTTGTAGAAGAAACATACCAAATGCGTATCTGTAACACAGTTTAAATAACAAGTTTGACTGTTGCTTTTGAGAAAGTTCCCATAAAAAGCATATTTTTGAATTCGTTAGGAGCTTTTGCTAATAGCTGCCATATGTTTCATTTGAACTGCATCCTCAGGAAGTGATTTAACATTTTTGGCAATAAAGCAATTAAATAGGATTTTCCTGCTGGCCATATGGGTTCACTGTAACTTCATATTTTCTTCTCTTATTTCTCAATGGAACAAAGCAAAGTCTACTAATAACTTCCAAATGAGGGGAAAAATCATTCATATTCTTTTGTTGTTCTCTGAGATATACAAATGATAGGATAACCACCTTTTCTATGGTTGTAACTACCACTGCCCCAACCCCCCAAACTCTAATCTTCTAATAGCCCTCTTGTGTAAGGATTTTCATTTAAGTTGGTCTGTTGAAAGTGCTTTGAGATTGAATTTTTTTTTCAAAGTCATTAAAAAGAAAATTGTTTAGTAAGAGACAGGGAAACAATTTGCTTTCTCTTAATGAGATCTTTTAAAGCTGTGTGTGGGAGTTTAGACTGTGTGCATGTCTGTTTATGTTTTGGGATGTGAAGCCTGGTTAGGGAAATGCTGATCTGGACATGATTTGCGGAAATGCTATAGACATAGGTTGATTCCTTTGGTCTGCTGCTGGGAGAGCTTTCTGCACTTCCAGAAAGACCTCAGCCAGAAGCCTTTGGGAACTTACAGCATCTACACAAAAGCTTCTAACATAAACAGCAGCATAAGTCATACATGTTCTTTTGGAATTGCATGGTTAAAATATTCTGAATGATCCAGTTTCTTCTAGATGATTTTAGGTAAAAATGTATAATTTTATGTCTATAATATGCTATTTTTATTGATATGTTATTTCCTTCATTTGAATAAAATATATATTTTTTTAATTCTTAGGAATCAGTACCAGTACCATGGACTATCTCAACTAAGAGGCCCTTTGAAGGTCAATCTCTTCAAGCAATGGGCATGCATGATAGGGTGAAAGATTCTCTTCCTGGGTTCCACCAAGGGCTAACTTTTTTGTTATTGTTGTTCACTTAGTACACAACAGAGCACCAACATTTATTTTGTGCTTTCTCTCTTTATAGGCCGGTTTTGCATGACTTCAAATATGAAAGATGTTCACACAGAAGTGTCTGGAATATTACTATATAGGAATTTTTTTCCATTTGCTTTTTAAACAGTGGTTTAATCCGTAGAAGAATTAGAGGTAGAATAATTTATCCCTTTTTCTTTAAAACACTCATTTTGGGGCTGGGGATATGGCTCAGCTGGTAGAGTACTTGTCTCGCATGCACAAGGCCCTGGGTTCAAGCCCCAGCACACCAAAAATTTAAAATAAATAAATGAATAAAACTCTCATTTTATTCTCTCAAGAAATATTTAGAGAAATTTCGAAATGTGTAAGTACGTCCATAGAAATGACAGGAAAAATCTCCTAGTGGTGGAACAGCCTCTGTCCCAGCTGAGTGCCCAAGAGGCCACCGGGGGCACAATGAGTACTGAGATGAACATTTAGAGATTAACATTTTGGCAGGGAAAGACATACAAGAAAATAAGGTACATGGAAAAATGGGCTTGATTCCATCTCTTCATCATTTAAAGACTGTTTTGAAATCACTCTAGGAAGGAGGAGAAGAATTACTAAGGTTTTGAAGGAAGATGGGATATGGGTACAAACCTTCAACGATGGCAGCTGCCGTAGGAACCAGCATTGGGTCCTGTGAGGTTCAGCCCCTCAATGATTGCAGTTTGCTTTGTTTGAACAAAGAAGTTCATTAACAAGCTGAGTCTCATTGGTAATCTGATATCATCTATTTTGGTTTATGAAATATTTCTCTAGCTTTGACAGTCACCCTTCTTTTGTTGAAAATGTAAGTTCTTC